TTAATCAAGTGATCAAAACTGATGTCATGGGGCTTCCCTGGTGGCGCAGTGGTTGAGAATCCGCCTGCTGATGCAGGGGACGCGGGTTCGAGCCCCGGTCTGGGAAGATCCCACATGCCACGGAGCAGCTAGGCCCGTGAGCCACAATTACTGAGCCTGCGCGTCCGGAGCCTGTGCTCTGCAACGACAGGCGGCGACAGTGAGAGGCCCGCGCACTGTGATGAAGAGGGGCCCCCACTTGCTGCAACTAGAGAAAGCCCTCACACAGAAACGAAGACCCAACACAGCCATAAATAAATTTAAATTGAAAAAAAAGAAATAAAAACTGATGTCACCAGAAGCACTGGGACAAACTGACAGGGATTCTGCCGAGGCTTTTTTGAAAATAGTCATGAGGAAGCATCCAACAAACCTCAAATGAGGGATATTCTACAAACTGACTGCCCTGTACCCTTTTAAATATAATCATGAAAGAGAAAGAAATACAGAGGAACTGATCCAAAATAAAAGAGACCAAAGAAACAATACGACTAAATGTAATGCACAATTCAGGATTTTCTTTTACTATAAGGGACATTAATGGGATAACTGGCGGAACCTGAATAAGGTTTGTAGATAACAGCCTTATATAAATGTTAATTTTCTGATTTTGAGAACTGTATTGTGGAATGTAGGAGAATGTCTATTTTTAGGAAATAAACATTGAACTATTTAGGGGTGAAGAAATATCTTGTCTGCAGCTTAGTACAATACAGTTCAAGAATAAAAAATTTTAGGGACTTCCCTGGTGGTCCAGTGGTTAAGACTCTGTGTTTCTATTGCAGGGAGCGCAGGTTTGATCCCTGGTGGGGGAACTAAGATCCCGCATGCTGCATGGCTTGGCCAAAAAAAAACTTATATGCAAATAATAATGTTTTACACACACACACACACACACACACACACACACACACACACACACATGGGGAGACAGAAAAACAGACAAAGAGAGAGAATAAAAATGATAAAGCAATTGTGATAAATGTCAATAATTGGTGAAGCTAGGTAAAGAGCCTATGGGATTCCTTGTAATATTCTTGCTACTCTTTCTGTAAGTCTGAAATCATGTCAAAATAAAAAGTATTAAATGTAGCCGCTCTGAAAAACAATATGGAAATGCCTCAAAACATTAAAACTTGAACTACCATATGATCCAGCAAATCCACTCCTGGGTATTTATCTGAAGAAAATGAAAACAGTAATTAGAAAAGATATATGCACCCTTACGTTCATTGCAGCATTATTTACAATAGCCAAGATATGGAAGCAACCTAACTGTCCATTGATAGATGAATGGATAAAGAGGATGTAGTGTGTGTGTGTGTATGTCTATATATATATATATATAAAATGGAATACTACTCAGCCATAAGAAGAATGAAATCTTGCCATTTCCGACAACATGGATGGTCCTAGCGGGTATTATGCTAAGTGAAATAAGTCAGACAGAGAAGGACAAAAACTGTACGATTTCACTTATATGTTGAATCTTAAAAAGAGAAACAAATAAGCCAACAAACATAAAGTAGAAACCGAGTCACAGATTCAGAGAACAAACAGGTGGTTGCCAGAGGGGAGGTGGGGGGGGGAGGAAGAGAGAAATAGGTGAGAGAGATTAAGAGGCACAAACTTCCAGCTGCAAGATAAATGAGTCATGGGTATAAAATGTACAATGTGGGGAACAGAGTCAATAACTGTGCAATATCTTTGTATGGTGACATATCATAATTAGACTTATTGTTATCAGTTTGAAACACAGAAATATTGAGTCACTATGTTGTGTAACAGGAATTAACACAGTGCTGTACTTTCAAAATTATACTTCAAAAACAAACTCATAGAAAAAGATTACTCTTCACTAAATGGTGCTGGAAAAACTGGACAGCTACATGTAAAAGAATGAAATTAGAACATTCTCTAACACCATACACAAAAATAAACTCAAAATGGATTAAAGACCTAAATGTAAGACCAGAAACCATAAAACCCCTAGAGGAAAACACAGGCAGAACACTCTTTGACATAAATCGTATCAATAGCAATATTTCTTTGGATCTGTCTCCTAAAGCAAAGGAAATAAAAGCAAAAATAAACAAATGGGACCTAATTAAACTTAAAAGCTTTTGCACAGCAAATGAAACCATCGACAAAACAAAAAGACAACCTACTGAATGGGAGAAAATGTTTGCAAATGATAGGACTGATAAGGGGCTCATATCCAAAACATATAAATAGCTCATATAACTCAACATCAAAAAAAAAAAAACCCCAAAACCCACAAACAACCCGAGTGAAAAATGGACAGACATTTTTCCAAAGAGGATAGACATTTTTCCAAAGAGGACATGCAGATGGCCAATAGGCACATGAAAAAGATGCTCAACGTCATTAACTATCAGGGAAATGCAAATTAAAACCACAATGGATATCACCTCGCATCTGTCAGAAAGGCTATCACCAAAAAGAACAAATAACAAATGTTGGAGAGGACATGGAGAAAAGGGAACCCTCGTACATTGTTGGTGGGAATGTAAATTGGTGCAGCCACTATGGAAAACAGTATGAAGGTTTCTCAAAAAACTAAAAATAGAATGACCCAGCAATTCCATTCCTGGGTATATATCCAAAAAATATGACCCAGCAATATGACCCAGCAATTCCACTCCTGGGTATATATGGGTATATATCCCCTGGGTATATATCCAAAAAATATGACCCAGCAATTCCACTCCTGAGTATATATCCAAAAAATGAAAACACTAATTCGAAAAGATACATGCACCTCAATGATCATAGCAGCGCTATTTACAATGGCCAGGATATGGAAGCAATTCATCCATCAACAGATGAATGAATAAAGAAGATGTGGTATATATATACAGTGGAACACTACCCAGCCATAAAAAAATAATGAAATTTTGCGATTTTCCAGCAACATGGATGGACTTGGAGGGTATTATGCTAAGTGAAGTAAGCCAGACAGAGAAAGACAAATACTGTATGATATCACCTATACGTGGAATCTAAAAATTAAACAAACTAGTGAATGTAACAAAAAAGAAACAGACTCACAGATATAGAGAACAAACTGGTGGTTACCAGTGGGGAGAAGGGAGCGGGGGACGGGCAAGAATGGGGTAGGGGATTAAGAGGTACAAACCATTATGTATAAAATAAAAAAGCTACAAGAATATATTGTACAACACAGGGAATATAGCCAATATTTTATAATAAGTTTAAATGGAGTATAACCTTTAAAAATTGTGAATCACTGTATTGTACACCTGTAACTTATATAATATTGTACATCAACTCTACATCAATTTTTTAAGAAAAGATCAGGGCTTCCCTGGTGGCGCAGTGGTTGGGAGTCCGCCTGCCGATGCAGGGGACATGGGTTCGTGCCCCGGTCCGGGAAGATCCCACATGCCGTGGAGTGGCTGGGCCCGTGAGCCATGGCCTCTGAGCCTGCGCATCCGGAGCCTGTGCTCCGCAATGGGAGAGGCCACAACGGTGAGAGGCCCGCGTACCGCAAAAAACAAAAACAAAAAAATAGATCAGATTTGTGGTTACCAGACGTGGGGGATGGGCGGGGATTGGAAGAAGGCAATCAAAATGTACAAACTTCTTGGTGGGAATGTAAGTTGGTGCAGCCGCTGTGGAATACAGTATGTAGGTTCCTCAAAAAACTAAAAATAGAATTACCATATGATCCAGTAATCCTACTGCTGGGCATATATCTGGACATAACTCTAATTCAAAAAGATACATGCACCCCTATGTCCATAGCAGCACTGTTCACAATAGCCAAGACATGGAAACAACCTAAATGTCCACCAACAGATGAATGGGTAAAGAAGATGTGGTACATATATACAATGGGATACTACTCAGCCATAAATAAAGAACGAAATAATGCCATTTTCAGCAACATGGATGCAACTAGAGATTATCATGCTAACTGAAGTAAGTCAGGAAGAGAAAGACAGATACCATATGATATCACTTATATGTGGAATCTAAAAGATGACACACATGAACCTATCTTTGAAACAGAAACAGAATCATGGATATAGAGAACAGATTGGTGGTTGCCAAGGGGGAGGGGGTTGAGAGAGGGATGGAGTGGGAGGTTGGGGTTAGCAGATGCTTTTATATTCAGAATGGATAAACAACAAGGTCCTACTGTATAGCACAGAGAACTATATTCAATATCCTATGACAAACCATAATGGAAAAGAATATTTTAAAAAAGAATGTGTATATATGTGTAACTGAATCACTTTGCGGTACATCAGTAATTATCACAACATTGTAAATCAACTATACTCCAAAAAAAAATTTTTTTAAAGGTACAAACTTCCAGTTATAAGATAAATAAGTACTAGGAATACAATGTACAACATGATAAATATAATTAACACTGCTCTGTTATATATGAGAGTTGTTAAGAGAATAAATCCTAAGAGTTCTTACCATAAGAAAGAAGTTTCTATTTCTTTAATTTTGTGTCTATGTGAGATGATGGATGGTCACTAAACTTATTGTGATAATCATTTCCTGATGTATGTAAGTCAAATCATTATGTGGTACACAAACTTATACAGTGCTTCTTGTCAATTACATCTCAATACAACTGGAAGAAAAAAGGTGTTAGAAAAAATTTGTTTGGGGAACACTGCACCCAACTCTCCTACCTGGATATTTCCAATGTCCATTAGCATGTTAAGGCTCTGACAAGTCCTGCACAAGGAAGCCTGTTTAGTATTTAGACAGCAGAAGATTCACTTTGTCTGAACGGGTATTAATTTCTGACAGAGGGGTTTCGCCAATGTGTCAGACACTGGAACAGAGCATCAATGGACTTGAAAATGTGTAGGATTTCATCTACGCTGTGGACCCACAGAAAGTTTTGCCAGATCCCCACTGTCCCTGCCCCGTGGCATTCCCCAGACTCTCACCTTCTGTGAGTGTCTCCTTCTGCTTCAGCACACCTGTGAGGGTCAGAAGACGGGGCATGGCTGCCCAGGTATGCTGGGCTTGGCTCTGCAGGGTCAGGACCTGGCCTCCCCTCTGCTCTTCAGATGCCTTGAGAAAAAGCTGCACTGTGTTCTGGTCTAGCAGTGCCTTGGAAAACAGCCAAATCCTAGGAAGGAAAGTGATGGGGGCATGGAAAACATTGGCATCTATCCCTGCAGGCAAATGGTATTTTTCCTCTTCAAATAAGCAGGACAGCCCATAAGAGGTGCATTCCTGAACCCCACTGTCCAGACCCATCAAGGGACTGCCTTACTGGCCCTCAGCCCACAGGGATACAGGGTAATAGGGGGTTAAGATCATGGACCTTGAGGTCAGTCAAACATGAATTCGAATCCCAGGGCTACTGCTCACTCACTGTGTGGCCTTGCACAAGGACATGACCTCCCTGAACCTGTCTCGTCTTCTGTAAAGTGGAGGCAAAAATGGAACTACTGATATTGATGAGCTGACATTGCTAATGAGTTATCGATGTATGTTATTATGGTGAGGGACAAGGGAAAAAACAGCCCCAGGAAGCCTGCTGTTAAACTTCCTGGAGAATTGGAGCAGGGGACATGGTCCCTATCATCCCTGTGGTATGTTATTGATAGGACACCATAAGAGATAATTCCCTCAGGTACCAAGACCAGGAACAAGGTCAGCCATGCTTTCCTTGGTGAACATTCACACGGGTATGTGAGGGGGCGTGTGTTTTCCCATAAGGAAGGGCACTGTTTGCAAATAATGCCATTGGTTGGTTTTTCTTTTTTGCACTGGCTACTAGGAAGCCCAGAGCCAAATCTTCAGCTCCACTCTAGAAAATGGCATGCATTTTGTTTACCAATGCCACTTTGAGCATCTTCCCATTTTTCCCACTTTTCCTTCCCTTCACCCTAATTTCCTTATGTATTTTTTTAAAACCCAGAACAAGAGTTGACAAGCTATGCGCCTGTGGGCCAAAACCAGCCCACCCCCTGTTTAGTAAATAGTTTTATTGGAATTCGGCCACACCCATTCATTTACATGTCATCTACGAGTACTTGCAACAGAGACCACATGGCCCACAGGTCCAAAAGTATTTACCAACTGGCCCTTTCCTGAAAGTTTGCTAATTCTTGACCTAGAACAATATATATTTTCATGATCTGCCTCAAACCCTTTTTAGATTGGGAATAAGGATGCGCAGATGGATGAATAGGCAGGTGGACAGACAGCCATAGATGGTAATTCCGGGGACAGGGTTATCTAGGACCATGTCCAAAGCCTTAAATCTCCTTGAATTCAAAAAAGCTGCCAAAGCTAGGACTGCAGAGGAAAAAGGAAAACTACCATTTAACAGAGACCTAATATGTGCCAGAATGTGCCACACTCAAAGGAGCAGCTCTATGGCAGCTGGAAGTGAACGTGAATGGCCAGAAGCTGGTTTGGAATTCACACGTGCTGTCCAGTTAATTCTAGGACAACCCAAAGAAGCAGGTTGAGAAACTGAGGCACAGAAGGGCACAGTGTCTCACCCAAGGTTCCCGAGGCAGCAATGGCAGAGCTGGGATTTGAACCCAGGCTGGCTCCCTATCCCAGGCCATATCATAGTGAACATGTCATTATGTGAAAATATAGTCAGAGATGACAAACTGGAGGGAAATACACCAACATATTCCCCATGACTGCCTCTAGTGATTTTTGATTTACTCCTTATTCATTATTATAGTCTTTCAAGTCATCTAAAATGAATGCTGTTGTAACTAAAAAAGAAAACAGATCAAAGTGGAAAATTGAATGCCTCCTCCCTTCCATTCCCTCAAAGCCTTAAAAATCAAGAATGGCACAAACGGGGGTAATTCAGGCATGGCTCCAGAGGCACCTCTGGATGATGATTTTCCATCTCCCAGGACGCCAGGCCTTTGACCTCGGAGGCCCCCTCACCCCTCACAGGCCACTTGGGGATGGGTACCTGTCTGGGGCGACCTTGCCGGACAGCTGCAGCTGAACAGCTCTGGGGGCTCTGAGGACCTCCTGGCGGAGAAGGACGCTCATGCCCCAGCCCCGGCTGCTCCTCCAGGTATCCTGGCTGGCAGTGGCCTCCAGCAGAACGAGCACCTCACCAGACACGTGCACAGACAGGGAGCTGTTGAGGTTGTGCTCTTTGTAGCGCCCAGCAGCTGCCTGCACCTGCAGGGAGGCAGGAGAGAGCTCAGAAGTGGAGGGGGGACAGGAAGGGTCTGTGGGAGCTGGGAATGCAGAAGGCCCCTTCTTCCAGGAAGTCTTCCTGAGCCACTCCAGCTCTGAGCATCATCGAATGCAGCAGACTGCAAACACTCAGGAAAAGAAATGAGACAGAGAGAAGAATGGGGGACAGCCTTCCCTGACCCCAGCTCCTGGCCCAGGAACAGAGTCTCATCTTGTCCTTTCCACCACATATCAAGTGGGATTGCTTTCTTACAAATGGGGGAACTGAGGCTCAGAGAGGGTCACATATTCAACCTGGGCCTGCCTGGCTCTAAAACTCATGCTTGTACCTGAAAGGGGGCTGCTGGAGAAAGCAGAGGACCCCTGTGCAGCTCAGTTACAGAAAAGGATGCTCCTAACAGTGTGCCCTGGGGCCCAGAGGACCCCTAGAAGCTCTGGAGGTCAAAGGGGAGAGTGCCCAGTGCATAAGGAGAGGGCCACACCGGGGGTTGGGCTGGAGCAAAGGCTTGACCAGGGCAATGGTCGGGGGGTGGGGAGGAGTGGGGGTGGGAGAAGCGAGGCCCACTCCTCCACCAGCTCTGCAGGACCTGAAGGCCCTTTCCTGATCTGGGCCTCAGTTTCCCCATCTACGGGGTAGAAACTGGCCTAGTCCGGTCTGCACATTACAACCACATGGGAAGCTTTTGTAAGTATGCCTGGTCCCTCCATATTTGAATTGATAAACTGTAGATCCATGCAATGCAATATTATTCAGTGATAAAAAGAAATGAGTTATCAAGCCATGAAAAGACATGAAGGAAATGTAACTGCATATTCTAAACGAAAGAAGCCAATCTTTTATTTCAAGGCTACATACTGAATGAGTCCAACTATATGACGTTTAGGGAAAAGGTAAAACCAAAAAGACAGAAAATGGCTCAGTGGCAGCCAGAGGTTAAGAGAGGGAGGGAGGAATCGGTGGATTGAGAAGGACTTTTAGGGCAGTGACACTACTCTGTATGATACAGTAAAGGCTGATATACGACGTTATGCATTTGGCAAAACCCACAGAACGTACGACACAAAGAGTGAACCCTAAACGTGAACTATAGACTTTAGTTAATAATAAATTAACACTGGTCCATCAATTTTAACAATGTACCGCACTAATGCAAGATGTTAATAAGATGGGAAACTGTATTGTGGGGAAAGGAGGTATATGGGAACTCTCCATACTTTCTGCTCAATTTTTCTGTAAACGTAAAACTGCTCTAAAAAATGCAGTTTATTAATTTTTTTAAAAAGTGTGCCAGTGGGGCTCCCCTGGTGGCGCAGTGGTTGAGAGTCCGCCTGCCGATGCAGGGGATA